ACAACACACTTTCTTCTCCACCTCCTGCACCACATTTGCCATCCAGCCTCAAAGGGGAGGAAGGACGTTTCCAGATGCCAGCAAGCAATCTTACCTTGCTCTCCTTCAGGCGATCTTCTTCTTTGGTGGCTGGAATTATTTTCAGCGTTATCGATCCTTGGGACTGAGCCTGGAAGGAAAAAAACTTTGTGTTGCCCTTTTTAGGGAAAACCAGACTGTCAGCAAAACACTATGAAGACGTCTGACTCTTGCTTAATAAAGCTCAGATTACTGGTCCACCTAGTTTGGTTATTGTCCGAACTGGCCTTTCCCAACCAAGGGCGCTATAACCCTATTGTTCCCACCCAGTAGAACAGGAGTTGCTGGCTAACTCATCGGGAACACATCCAATTGGATGAAGCTCAATAACACTGACTGGCTGTAACTTGCCAAGTCTCCATCATTTCAAACTGCATTTTTAGGCTTCACATGCCTCTGGTCAGCAGACAGAAGAAATCAGAAGAAAGACGAGTCAGAGGTATCCCTCTGTACAGAAAGCTTTAGTTAAGTGGCAAGAGGTTTGTGTTAAGTGTTCATTCTTCTGAGACAACCAAACATGACCAATGTTTTTAAGCAACAGACAAGTATTTAAGAAACAGACAAGCATTCTTTTAAACAAATGGTATGGGATAATAAACAGCCTATCAGAATTGGAACAAGGGTTGAAATTCCATGGTCAGCTAATTGTGACCATTTGGATTGGTCTCTCTCAGTCAGCTCACCTCTTTGGTGTTTTTGGAAAAATAATATGGGATGCACTCATAGATGATGCCTGGAGATCCACTGGAAGAAATATAGGGTATTAATGCCACGTTAAGGTACTGTGAGGCAGCAGCCTAAGGTGGCAGAATACTAGATGATATTAAGAAAGCAGCAGCTGCCACTGCCATTTTCTGGCTGTTCCATACCTGTAGAGGACAGATAACCTTTCCTGCACTTCCTTAAATTTTTTTTTAATTAACTAAAACATAAACATTGAATACACAAATCAAAATACAATTTAACTGTGTTCCCCACCACCGTAGATGGGACCTCTTGCAATAATCTTCTTCCTCCATCTATATTCTTCCTCTTCTTCTATTGTTCTCCTCTAGAACTGCATTGATTCTTGATTTGGAGCTTTCCCCTTTCCTCTTGTGAATACATATTCCAAGAATCTGCCCCATATTTCATAAAAAATATTCTTTTTCAACTCTCCTTCCTTAACCTTTAGATTACAAGTTAATTTATCATTTATAGCTATATTCCATATTTCATTATGCCATTCATCCATTTGAAATTCAGATTTTGATTTCCATTGCCTAGCTATTATTAATCTCGCTGCTGTTAATAAATTACAGTGGTACCCTGCTTGACGACGATAATCCATTCCAGGAAAATCGCTGTTAAGCAAAATCGTCGTCAAGCGGGGAAAAAAACATTTGAATGCATTGAAAACCGGTTAATGCGTTCCATTGGGGGAAATACCTGATTGTCCAGCGAAGATCCTCCATAGGGCGGCCATTTTATGATCCCTGTGTTGGGTCTGGAAAACAGTGGGGAGTCATTTTGTGAACCGCCGATCAGCTGTTTTTAATCATTGTCCAGCGAAAAAACGGTTCCTGAAGAAGGTAAAGGTACCATCCAGTCTTTTACCTCAGACAACAACATGGCTGCCAGCCCTGACAGAAGGCACTCCTATCATTTCACAGCTAAGAAAAATGTAGATTTGGTGCAACAGCCAAATCTATATATCTCCTCACACCAAGCAATGTTATCAAACATGATTTCAGTTTATTCTTTGTGCAGCAAGTTTTCCAAGCTCTACCTTTGCCAATAGCATTATTACAATTTCATTGTCTCTTGTTTTTAATTTGACAGTGCTTTTTAGTTGATTTATTCTTCAGCTACTCACTGACCTGTGTCCACCTTGCAGTTCAGTTCTGCAATTTGCATTCTGCAAATTTTCCCCAACAGAAAAAAGCCATATCTTAATACAAGAGGGTTCATTTTGTATGCAAAAAGTCTGAAGTTCAGTCTGCAACACCTCCAGCAAAGGCCAGAAAAGATCTTATCTGAAACCCTGAAAAGCTGCCACCATACAGTGCAGTAGACCAGTGGTCCTCAACCTTGGGCCTCCAGATGTTCTTGAACTACAACTCCCAGAAGCTTTCACCACCACCTCTGCTGGCCAGGATTTCTGGGAGTTGAAGTCCAAGAACATCTGGAGGCCCAAGGTTGAGGACCACTGCAGTAGACTCTATCAAGCTAGATGAAACAGTAAATTAAAATACTAGACCATTTTATGAAACCATTCTGTGTTCACTATGAACAACTTCAGAATCTTGTATTGGGGTATAAAAACAGCACATTAAGAGCCTTGGGTCTTGGGACCTAACTAAAGGACATGCTTACTACATTTGTAGAAGAGGTCCTTCCTGACGTGGCAAAAAGACATCTATATCTTTTAACACCCACTTTTCTTCACTTACTGTACATACTTTGTATTCAACTAGGTTTTGTTATGTGACTTGATGATGAAAGGTAATCATGGAGTTCATTTATAAGTCTGAGGAATCTCATGCTGGGAGGAATTGTCAGATATACTGTCATTCTTGCATTAAGCAGTGGGGCTAGGCTCAATGGCTTCATAAGCCCTTTCCAACTACCGGTACATTTATTCTATGATTCTACGAATTTCCAGGTTAATTGAAAGATTTACACATTTCCTTTAATGCCTAATTTGACCCTCAGGGTCAACTTGTATAATTTGCTTATGATTGCAGTCTAATCCATATATATCTAGGTACAGATTCCTTTGAATACAATGAGGCTTAATGTACACTGGATTGCTCTGCATCACATACTCTGAGACTGACGTACTGTAATTATAAAAAGCATGCTGATATAGTAAAAGGCAAGGTGATGATGAGGAGTGACTAAGCAGGATTTTTTTTCCAGGGTCCTGCAGTAATTCATTAACCCTGTTCATCACTAGCAAATGCAAAGAGAGGAGGAGACAGTAAGCAAAACAATTCAGTTCATAAAAAGCTGTGTATAATTAAATTATAAAAGCCAAAGTAGGCATTTGAAACTAATTCTTAAATCCATACTTTATTGGGTGAGCCCATTTAAAAGGCATTAAAAGTGTGTTAGCTTTTAGGAGTACTATCTCTTCATCAGTGATTAAGTGATAGTATTCTCAAAAGCTTGCACATTGTTGTGTCTTTTTTGGTGGCCTAATGAAGGCATCACCTCAATATGCTGTTTGGAATTCAATTTTCTTTCTTTTCCTGAATTGACATCATCTGTACACATTGCAGAAACCAATTCTTGGCAGAGATATATTTAAAAACACAAATACTAATCCTTGGTCCTACTTCACCAGAGGTCCTTAAATAGAGGAGGAAGAGCTGGCTGCCAGGGATAATGAACGTGCATCCTCCACTGCAGATCTGTCATTGGGGAGGGGGATGTCCAAGAACAGGGAATATCCATGAACTTTGCAAGTCTACAGTAGGATTTTAAACATTTGTGTTTTGAGCAGACCTTGGAAAATTTACCTTTTTTCCCCAACTATAATTCCCAGAATCCCCAACCAGCCCAGTTATAAATTTGGGGGATTGTGCATATTATGTATCCCTCTTGGCTCATCTGGCAAGAATTTTTGCAGCCTATATGGCTCTCTTGATCATGGCACCCTTAAGACCATGCTTATCATGGTTCTAGAATTTGGAATCTTTTTTTCTTTTGATTTTTTTACTGCTTTTCTATTATTATGTTTTGTTGTGTCTGCCACTCTGACCAGTAACTTTACTACTAGTTGGGTAGGATTAAAATGTAAATAAATAAATGAAATGAAATACAGCTGCAAAAAAGTAATTTTTCGAACAAAGATCTTGCCTCACTTTCTCTGTTCTGAAAATAACAGCCATTTTCCATGCACTGTCCTTGCCGCTAGAAGGGTTCCCCCCCCCCGATTAATCTTAAAAACATTGAGGTATAAACTGCATTTTGCACACACCACATTGTCACATTCTCCTAAACAGGTACTGTCACTGACAGTGAAAAAGAGGAAGAGATATGGAGAAGGGCTTTGTAACCTGAAACTCTTCGCACCAAAGCTTAGAATTATTTTCAGATGTCTGAATAAGAATCCTGACAGTTTGGGTTCCTTTGCTGTGAAAGGTCCCATTGCTTAAAGAACCAAAAACAGAAAAGGATAATTCTTCCCTCATGCACTGAGTGAAAGCTTTCAGTGACTGAGATTTCTTGCATTCAATACATCTCTCATAAACCAACCCAATCAAAGGGATTGTTCCATTTTGCTTTCTTGTTTCCAATTTGGGTAGTAAGAGATGAAAGGATGTTCCCCTTCCCAGTGAGGCACTTAGCTCATTTTTGCAAGTCAGTAAATGACAAATGTTCAGAGGACCTATTTATGTCACTCTGCAAGGCATCTGATGCATTAATAAACAACACATATATTTAGGGCACACCATTTTACTGAATAACATCAGGCAAGCATTTAATAGTTTAATTTAATCTGATTATTTTAACAAAAAAAAATCCTACCGCATTTCGTATGCACGTATATTCAAATGCAAGTCTGCACAATGGGGCTAAGGAATCCTTTCTACGTTGAGGGGTGCTGTCCCTCCAGAAATTTACAAAAGTTATTTTTGGACTACAACTCCCAAAATCTCTTTAGCAAGCATGCTTGTTAGACTATTCTGGGACTGTAGTCTAAATAAACTATTTGATTTTGTCATGGTCTAATTTGCTAAGAGATCATCTTTTGAGTACGACATACCAATAATGGACCTGACTGGAGTCAAAAACGTATATAGCCCAGCCCAGTGTGGGTGGGAAGCTACTCTTCTCTCTCTTTGTCACTCTATTTCCTCCTCCTCCTCCTCCTCCTCCTTCCTCTCTCTCTCTCTCTCTTTCTCTCTCTCCCTCTCCCTCTCCTTCTCCCAGAAACTGCTCTGAGCAAACCATTCATTTGTGCTACAACAGCTGACAAGTGGCTTCTCCCAGAAACTGCTCTGAGCAAACCATTCATTTGTGCTACAACAGCTGACAACTGGACCTTTTTCTCAAGCTGCAGTAATTCTGCTCAGTCCACTGCCATTCATTATAAAGACACAC